TATTTTCTGTATGAAGGCATTTGCTGTTTTCAGCTCAGAAATTGCTGAGTTATGATGTGGCCAGAAACATTTATAACAGAGACAGAAAAATTCTTATTTCATTTCTCTTTGGATAATAAAACTCAAGTCCCCTGTATCTTAAGAAGAAATTGGTTCTGAATGGAGATGACAACTTTATGAACAGAAGGAAAGGAAATACTAATGTGAATCAACTTGTCTAATTTCCTTTGAAATACTAATGATGCTTGCACTATGATATTTTTAAGACTCTAACCAGTAAAGTAAATATGGTGACTGAGAAGGTTGATATAATGAACTGATTCTGGGCTAAAAAGGATTTTAATGTGACACAAAGCTTGTGACTGAATTGGAGTAAATATTACTGACAGGGATCTGAAAACTAAGAAATTACTATTCATGGATATTATCAGTTAGTGTATCCAAAGCACACTTTGTACTGCAATAACTACATGCAATCCTCACCTCTTGTGGTTTTTACAGAACAATATTTGCTATTCTAGTTTCAACTAAACAGAACATATATTTTTGCCTAGAAATCCAAGAAGCAAGAACAGTCTCACTGGACAAAAATGGACAGAAATGCTTGACTACTAATTCCAAATTTCTAAGAAGACTTTACCTTAATTAGCTTTATCACTACTGAAAAAATATTGCTTGCCAACATCTACTAATAATGCAAGAAATATTTAAAAAGTTGCATCTAAATAAGTGTAAGATATTGTATTTTTCATTTGCAGGATTCCATTTAAATATCTTGTGCTCCCTAGCCCTAAGTATGACTCCTGACACAGAAATGGCTTAGTACAATGACCTAAGAGCACACCACACTACAGTGTAAAAGTAGGGTTTGTGCAGCAATAAGAAAACAAAGTAATGTCTTAACAACAAAGGAAAAAGTTAAAACTACAGAATTAAAGTTTCAGGCCTCGGCAAATATATATAGTACCTTTTAGCTAAACCTTTTCCTCAGCGGTTCTTGGCAGCAGATAACTTACTTCTTTACTATGCTCAAAGACTGTATCTTATCAGGCCATGGATAAAGTTAAATGCCTTTTTTAGCCAACTAGAATGGTCAAGAGATACATGGTGTATTCTTATTTGTCAAGCTGGTTAGAAAGTCTGCTTTGTTTCACAAGCACAGCAGTACCACCTAGACAGATGCTTTTAGCTCACAAGCTGCCTTCAGGATACTGTTTTTAATGAAAACTGATTTGCATACCACCAAGTCTATGCTTAGAGTCTGCTAGCAGCTGATTTTGATCAGGGTGCCAATGGGCAAGAATCAGCAAAACAGAAGAGATACAAAAGATGAAGTGAATCAGAAACCATTTTCAGAAGTTCCTTTTTGGTAAAGTAAACAAAGCTATCTTTTCATTAGGAACTGATTTTAACCTAATTATTAAAAAAATTCAAAACCTGATTAATTTTTTCTCCAGTAGGACTGACTGAGACCTTTGTGGAACAGTAGATTTCTACTGAAAAACAGGCCTGTTTTATGAAAACATATTAGTGTTTTCGACACCTGCTGGCTTGGGTGGCTGCCTGCAGAGTGCCAGATGTTCAAGGGTGGCTGTTCCATGTCAGCTTTTCCATATGAATGGGAAGCACACAGCTCCCAAATCAGTTTAACCAACATTACTGAGTTGTGAAGACCTGTAAAATTGAAAGAATAATTTCAGTCACTATTTCAAGGATCTCTGAGAGTATTTTCATTTATAGATTTGTGCTTTGGTGTTATCTAAAATGAAGCATATAGCAGCTTTTGTTCTGCAGAACATCAGGGAGCTAGGTTTTAAAATTTGTAAGAACACTGTTCTCTAAGCTGAAGATTGTCTATTACAGCACACATTCAAGATGTAGACTACCTTTTAAATTGTAGAAAAAAAATCATACTCTTTAGGAAAATGTTTGGTTCCACATCGTGGCAAAATTGATGGAGTTTAAGTTGTAACTGTGATTTTAAGAATGAAATTCCAATAGGTCTTACAGTTACTAGCTATAATTGTGATGTATTTGGGTATCAGGCCTGTGCCTGTGTGCACACAGTGCATTTAGTTGTGAATTCCCCTGGTAGCCCAGGAATTCCCCAGCTACTCTCTGTGCAGAGGAGATAATTGGAAAAAACAGACCAAATTGAGGAGAGGCTGCCTTCCACGTTCATCACAGTGTGCTCCACTGTTTCAGGAGCTGTCCAGACAGGACCTCCAGACACTAACAGAGATGCCTCTGCAGGCAATTCTTGCTGAGCCAAGAGCAATAGACAAACACTATTCATGTGTTTCCAAGTGTTGATTAACAACCTTGTGGACAATATTGCCAGGCCAGGTATAAGAATTAACAAGAACAATTGTCTGGGGAATTGTACTAATTTAAGCTGATGTCATGCTATGCTAGAGACTTGAATTCCAATCCTGTTTAAGAGATTTGACTCTTCATGTGAGCATTACTTTATGCAAAGATTTTCAAAAGTTGATGCTGTAGGTTTCTTGTGATGCCTTTTTTTGGTAAACACACTCTGTTTATGTGTCTATGCTCCCATTTCTTGAAATGTCAAAGATTAAGAAAAGCCAGGCTGAGTAGGGAGAGATTGTAAAATTCAAACTTTTTCAACAGTTTACATTAAAATCCTGAAGTGACAGCCTACAGTTTTACATTCTGGAAAATTTGGAAGATGTTCACAGCCTTCTCCTTGTCACCTCTGTAGAACTTTCCCCAACCAATGACAAAGGGAACAAGCACATTTTGTGTGTTTTCTTGCTCCTGTTATTTTCTTTTCTTAAATTTTTATAGAAGAGATTTCATTCATGAATGCAAAGTATTCCCCCTTTATGGCATTAATATGGCATTAATTATGGCATCACAACAAATGTATTTCAAAGAAAACAGTATCACAGTTTATGGAATTGATAACTTGTGCCAAAGGCTAAGGATATGTCTCTACTAATAAAATCTACATCAAGTTTTCACCCATTCTATTATGAGAAAACCTGCACCAGTGAGGAAACAGTTATGAGATATGCTAGTGTAGATGCACTACATAGGAAACAACCGAGACATTTTCCTTTTTTTTCCCATCTAGTTTACTACCAGTGTCTGTATTATAAACCCCTAAGTCTGGAACCTAGTCATGTAAAGTTCCAAATCTTTTACTTCAGTATATCTTAGGTGAGCCTGACATGGATGACCTGACTGGCAAAAGAAGAAAATGAGAAGTATAAGTCCCCCACACAAGCCACAGTCACCATGGCCTTACAATGTTCAACTAAGGGACACTTCACAGAGCTTAACATGAACTGAAGTTCACCTACTTCTGTTTAAACACAGATTAGGATGTTTGACAGATAAAAGCCACTGAAAAGCTGACAATCTAGAGTTAATACAAACAACTATCTTCCACGCTACAAAATGCTCTGTATTTCCTGCTGTGTAGAAACTAGTATGATAGCATACATTTTCTGAAATCCAAGAAAAAATACTCAGTTATGGTTTGTTAGGTTATTCAGTGAGTTTTTCACTGGATATAGATGCCATAAAATAATTATAATATTATCAAATATAAAACATAAACCGAACAATTCTTTAGATATTTTACTTCTGCAATGAAGTAAAAAAAATCCCCACCTGGCTTCATAACATAATGATTCAGAAGCATATGAGGATTTTCTTACCCCAGATACACAGAGGGCAGCTGGGAGCCTAACTACTGACAGGGGAAAGTGAGGTTGTACAGGTGCCCACATACTCATTTATTCGGACTACCTGAAGCAATGACAGATTTGCCTCTGAGCTACTCTTCCACATTCCAGTCTGATATAGATGGATTTGGCCCCACCTCCCCAAGAACCACATGGCAAAGTTGGAAGTAATTTTTCTGCAAATGAGCTACTGGGCTCCTCCCCATGGAAGAAAGGGGAAAAGAAACTGACTGAGAGAGTTACTCAGCCTGGCGATAGCTCTGTTACCTGAAATATGTTTCTTTTTATCCAGTCAAGAGTGGAAATTGCAATTCCACTCATAAAAGCTTCTCATCAGAAGTTTCATGTTGCAGAGTACAAAGAAAAATTGAAGTGACCAATGCCTTTTCTGAGGTCTCATTTCACAATGTGCTCTGTGCCTTCAGAGCACCTGTAAACACAATGGGATTCATGGGAATGAGTGTGGGCAGAAGGCAAGGGAAAAATCTGAACTCTGCCACAAAACACAAAATCCGCAACATAAGGAAAAATGAAGTGTCTTCAAAATGCATTTGATAGACTACCATGATAAGCACTTAATCCAGTGACTGCCCATAGGCACTACTACAACAGAAATGTTTAAGAGCAACAGATACAAGAGCTTTCTGTATAGCTGAAATCCTGAAGACAGCTTTCAGTTTGATTTTAACTGTATATGTAGTTGATGTATACTTAATTAATTTAATATTGGTCACTCCCATAATACAGTAGGGATTAAGATGATATTTTTTTCCTGGAACATATCACGTGACTTCCTGGGACTGTCAAATAATTTTCTACCATAATATTGTCAGAGACTGGAAATGAGGCTGATCTTTGGGGGTTTATGATCTGATGTGGGCTCAGCTAATGTACTGTTTCATATAACTGGGGTGTCTAGGTCATTGGCTCAGAGTAGTGCTATCACCACATTTTCTTCCATTTCATACTGGTTAGAACCTAAGATTTTGGCAGAAAGAAAGGAAATTTCTCAGTTTAATTTTCTGTACCTTTTTTTTTTTTTTTTACTAGCTACAGTAATCTAATTTTTACAAAGTTATCAGTACATTTTTCAAGTACAGAAAATAATTTGTTAGTATTTTCATTAAAATAATTTGTTGGCATTTTCATTCAAATAAACTGCAATGCAGCAAATCTTACATTAAAATATAGACGCACACCAGTAATTAAAAAGTAGTAATCAAATAAAAAGCACAGCAGAACACTTCAATTACTGATAGCAATCATAGTATAATCTTGTCCTACCAAGTGTGTCTCCAGGTAGAGTTTCAGGCTGTCTGTTTCTGCTTTAGGAGGAGTCCAGTTCTCTGTTGTTTCCATAGCTTCATTTAACCAGTGAATGAATTCATCCAGCTTGCTTACAAACCCCTTACCATGAAAGAAAAAAGAAAGAATAAGTAAAGCATTTGTTAGCAAAATGGCAACATGAAAAATGTATGCTCTTTTTTTTTTTTTATCCAAAAGAGTAAAATTTTACCTCTTACAACCTAAAACAAACAAACAAATAAAACAATTAGAGAGTGGTCTTCTGGTAACTGAGTAGCAGAACAGTGTTTCTGGGAATAATCCAATGTGATATTTTGGGACAAGACAATGTGGGATCCATATGACTGTGATGAAATAGAGAAAACAGCAAAGTTTTACAGAATATGAAGGAGAGATATAAAAAGCTTTATAGAAATTATAATGAAAAGTGAGCTTAAGACCTTGCACTGAGCAGACTGAGTGTACTATGAGCACTAACTGTTGACAAAAGGACTGAACAAAGCTGTATTAACAAGGTGTACACAGCAGACCAAGGGAAGAAATTACTTGTCAGAACTTGGGTGTTGTGATTCCTGTTTTAGCTCATAGCATGAGACTCAGAGAGAGGAAATCAAACAGTAGATGAGGCAGAATATATAGCATTTAATATAAATATTGCTGATTGCATTTGAGCCACACAGATAGTGCTCTGGAGAAGACAGGAGCTCCTGCTTCTCAGGAGCACCATTTATTTCAAGATTAGTACCAATTATATTGTCTGATTAAAAATAGTGCCCCTGAATTTACATGATTGGATGATTCTATCAGCACATACTGAGTACAGATAATTTTACTGAAGTCTTATCCACCACAAAGCAAGAGAGTAAATGGAATAAACTGACCGTGATGTTTATAAGCACCCTGAAAATTAACTCTGAAGAGGAATGTGCATCTATTACAAGTGTTGTAAGACTAGATTAAGTTAGTTCTAATACTGGTTATGTTATTAGTCATAAACTATGAATTTCCAGCATAGTGGGAATTTTAATTTCCAGTTGGGCAACAACTTAGTATATACACTCAGCACCTCAGTCTCACCACTCTATTAAATGATTTCTGCTAATTATTAGTCCATTCAGATAGCTAAAAGTAAACTAAGCATAGAACTTTTAAACAATCCTGAGTGTCTCAGGAGCCCAAATCTTCTTTTCCAAAGTTGCACATGAAATTGGCATTCTAAACAAGAAAGAAAAAAGAGTCTGAGCAGTAGGTGCACAGCTGTGTTATTTAAAGGGCAATGGTAATAACCCAGACCAAGCAGAACCACACTTCCTTCAAAATTCAAGGTAGAAGAGTCATTTTTGTCCAGCACTCTTGAGAATCAGGGTCCAGTAACCAACTTTTGGCTCCCAGGTGAAGCAGAAGTGCTTCTAAACCAAAGCTAGAGTCTGGCAGAAAGCTGCAGTGCATACTGCAGGCATGACAGCACCCACTTCAGCACTCTGAGGACTTTAATTTATGTGACTCCCCACAAGACCTCAGGATAAAGAGACTATTGCTGTCTCTATTCATTGAATCCACTGTATATCAAACCATTATAAGGAAGAAAACTGGTATTGTACAGGTTTCATTGTAGGTTATTTTCCAGGATATTCCAGAAAGAGGGAAGAAAGACAGGGAAAGCAACCAAGTGGCTATGGTGACTGAGACAAAGTGCCTTTATTCTGGGGCAAGTAATGAAGGCAACTACATCTGCTGTCTCCCAACAGCAGGCTGTCATACCACAGGGGCTATGTTCCCCCATGTCAATCTATGGACAGGGGCAGTGGCAAGACGTTCTCCTCGCTCCATTGCTTACTTTCTTCCGTCTCACAGTAGAGCATGAGATGCCAGACTGGCAGAGGAGTGGGAGACGTGAGCTGAGGAGGAGAAGAGCAGGAGGAGTAAAGTCCTTCTTGTCCCTCCAATAAATCTCTGCCTGCATTTTAGCAATGTGCTGTCCTTGAGAGACAAGGTGATATGGTAAGCAAAAAAAAAAAAAAAAAAAAAAGCTCTCCCTTGTACATGCGTCAAGTATTTTACCGAAAGAGACACGTATTACATCTGCCGGCAGTACTCAATGTCTGTATGCCTTCAAAGGGGTGCTTGGAAACACTGAAGGTTTGCAGCAGTATAAAAAGCAACTATTAGCCACGGAGCTACTTCTGTCCTCTCACAAAACCTGCCTGTGTTGCAATGTCTGCTACTTCGCGCTGGTGCTCAGGCACTCGCAAGCATCCAGCTCCAGCAGCCTCGTGTGTTCCCTCACCGCCCAGGCCGGGCGGGCTGCGGGAATACCCGGGGACTCGTCTGGAGGCCTGGACAAAAAAAACCACAAAGACAGTCTCCTACAGAACCACGGTGAGGCACGCTATCTGAGCAAGGAAAAAAAGAAGAAAAAGAAAAAGAAAGAAAAAGAAAAAGAAAGAGAAAAAGAAAAAGAAAGAGAAAGAGAAAGAGAAAGAGAAAGAGAAAGAGAAAGAGAAAGAGAAAGAGAAAGAGAAAGAGAGAAAGAGAGAAAGAGAAAAAGAAAAAGAGGCTGAAAGCGCCAGTGCCACCTGGCACGTTGGTACCGTGGCAGGAGACACTGTGCCCGAGGGGAGCCCGCGGCAGGGGGAGCAGCGGCCGCGGCCAGCCCCGGCGGGCTGTCTTCTGCCAGGCTGCACAAATCACAATAATCCTACCATTTTTCAAATGACGGCTATAAAATTTTATTGAAACCATTCACAAGCGCACATCTGCAGCAGCCGAGCGCGGGCCGAGGGAAGGGCAGGGCGGGACGGGCGGCGCGGGCCGCCGACTGAGGGAGCGCCGCGCGCTCGCCCGCGCGCCGTGCCTGGGCCCACAGCGCCACCTCCCGGCGCCGGGACAGCGCGGCGGGGACGGCGGCGACCGCATAGCCCCGGAGGGACACCTCTCTATGCACACCGGGGCACAAATTACACAGTCCGCTTTCAGCTGCTAGAGAGCGCGAGACATAGAAAATTATTTGTATCGCAAATCGTACGTGAGATTAAATCTCAGTAATGCAGGTCCCACCTCGTTCGCCCTGAATTAGTGATCAAAACAACGCCCCCGGGGTTTCTTTTTCACAGCGGTGCCCAGGATTCCATCCGACTTATTTAAAGAGCCTGATGCCAGTGGGCAAGGAAGGAGCCGCCCTTATCAGCCAGCCGCCCCTGCCCGGGAGGGAGCAGCTCCGGCTCGGACACCGAGCCCCGTGCGAGGCTCCCCGAGCCAGCGGCTCGGCAGGGCCAGACCAGAGCGGCCCCCGCTCGCCTCCGACTCGTTCCCGCGGGCTCCCAGGCTGCGGCCAGCGCTGCGGCCGAGCTCCGGCCCGAGCGGCCCTGCCCCGCGGGCCCGGCTGGGCCGGCGCACGAACGAGCGCCGCCTGCGCTCCCTCACTTAGAGAAGGAGCCGGACCGGTGGTCCGTGTAGCCCTGTCACAGCTATAGATCCTGATCTTTAATCCCCTTAAGGCTCATAACAGAGTGGAACTCCAAAACATAACTTATTCCTGACTGAAGGGCCACTGCCCCTCCGCAGACTGACCACCACGGAGCCATTTCTGTGTAATCAAGGCGGCCTAGTTAACTAGAGTTCAATTAATGACGTACATGTCATCAGGAACACAAACACCATTAGAATAGTTCCTCTTCTTAACCATCTCAAATGTTTCCCAGAATATACGTTTTATATAAAAGGTGAAGACAAAACCAGTCCTAAAAAATAATGCGGAAGACATTGTCTTACAACACAGAAAATCTATTATGACTCTTTCAGAGCGATACTTTTAAAAACAGATTACATGATAAACTGTATTAAAACAAAGGATAGACAATCCTAAATCCCAGTCCAGGAATATTCAGTGAAAGAAATAAATTCATAGGATGACAAACTTCAACCAATAGAGGAGATTTTTTTTTCTCTTCATTTAATAAGATATTAATGAAAACACTTTACATCCCTTTCTAGACACTTCTTACCTTTTTGCCTTTTAAAATCAAGATTATGGGGTTTTTCTCTAGATATTTTTCTTCATCATTTTTAAGATGGGAAAAAGGAAAAAAGTTTAAATGGATAAAAACTTCACTGAAGCTATGCTGATTTTTCCTGTGTAAGGGTCTGATCTACACGGCATCAAACTACAATGAAAATACTGTCAAATCGACCCAGCTTGTACTTTGGTAGAAATTAACAGGAAATTAAGACATTGTATATTCCATCAAAATTTAGTGGAAGTTGAAAACTCATAGCTGGCTACATTGAATCTAAAAAATACTGTTCAATTCCTCAGAGAGAATAGAAGGGAACAGAACAGGAAAAAAAGATGCACCAATATAACCCAGTCTCTCCCTTTAGACCAGCTGATTCAGTTTTGCAAATATAATAGTTTTGCACTGTGCGAGACATAAAAACTAGAGCTTCTACAGCATAAAGTTATTCTTAGTCTACACTGCCTAATAAAGAAGCAAATGTTTATTGTTGTTATTGGATGATTTGTAGCTGCTTCTGTAGTAAAGTTTGAAGAAAATTATAAAACCATACGTCACATGGGAAATTTTTAAATGTTGACCTTTAAAACCTTCAGCTTTCCATTTTTTTCATGACAATTTTACAAATTCTCCAAGGCGGAAGATAAAGTCCTGATCACACACCCCTGAAAAAAGCTAGAGCAAAAATGGCTTCATTTGAAATTTAGAACATACAAAGTTGGATTTTTTGTGGTCCAATGCTATTTTCTCTGGATGAATAAGAATGAAAAAGACAATTCTAAATATTGGGGGTGGGGGGGAGTAAGTTTAACTCAGTGTGTCTGCCTAATTATCTTATTAAATGAAAATATGCTTAATTCAATTGTTCTGCACAATTAAGGAATTAATTAATTAACTGAAGTATTAAATATAAATTTGATGGGATTTGACAAAAATATCTTGACACTTCCTTATTAATGACCAGAACACTCAAAATTTTTGAATCACAGCAAGAATTCATTTGCTGAGTCATGCAAAGGCATGCTCAGAGGCCAAAGGCACGCATGGATATTGGGCTGAGGAAGGATGTGTCTGGAAATGTGCCTCCTA